GGAGCAAGTACTGGATTCTGGTTAGAGCAGAGACTGGGAGCCAGGACTCCTGGGTTCTCTTCCCAGCTCTGGGAGGGAGTGGGCTAGTGGTTAGAGCGGGGGGGGCTGGGAGCCAGGACTCCTGGGTTCTGTTCCATGTGCTGCCGCTGCCATCCACTCACTTGCCTGTGCCTGAACTTCCCCCTGCTGGCTGGTGGCGCCGATCTCCCTGACACTGAGGTTGTGATGCTCAGCTGACTAACACCTGCAAACCCCGCCGGGACCGCCATGGCCGTTGCTATGGCGATGCCAGGTGCTGGAAGGAAAACCTGCCCCCACCGAGTGTCTGATGAGTGAGATGTCGCGGGATCTCGCTCAGCGCAGGGTGAGGTGGGCATGTGGGCAGAGACCGTCCCAGGCTGGAGACGGGGGTTAGCTGGGACCCGGGGTGCTGGTTTCCATTATGTGCAGGGTTTGCAGTGGGGTTCAGTGGCTCTCAGCTCCCCCGCCCCACTATAAACGTTGGTTCAGCCCCCCTGCCTGGAATTGCAACTGCGCCTGCAGCTTCTCTTCGGCGAGCGGCTGATGGGGAGGAACGCTGGGCTCCTGGCTTCCCGGAGCTTCTGGGGGGGAGAGAGAGAGAGAGTGTATAGGGATAGATAGATGATGGGTCCGTATGGGGATGGATGGATGGATGGATGGATGGGTCCGTATGGGGATGGATGGATGGGGATGGATGGATGGATGGGTCCATATGGGGATGGATGGATGGGGATGGATGGATGGATGGGTCTGTATGGAGATGGATGGATGGATGGAAGGATGGATGGATGGATGGATGGATGGATGGGTCCGTATGGGGATGGATGGATGGGGATGGATGGGTCTGTATGGAGATGGATGGATGGATGGAAGGATGGATGGATGGATGGATGGATGGATGGGTCCGTATGGGGATGGATGGATGGATGGATGGGTCTGTATGGAGATGGATGGATGGATGGAAGGATGGATGGATGGATGGATGGATGGATGGGTCCGTA